TTTTTTTGTGGCTGAGTTAAGAAATTTACAAAATGTAAAACGAATGCTTAAAAAAGAGTTACAGAACTGCCTACTTCTAATTTCTCCCCAGTGTCTGCATGCTGGGCAACAGAACTCTTTCGAGGGACCAGTTTGACATCTGTGCCAAAACAACAGTGGTTGATAATGTCACCGTGGCCACCAAGTTGACGGAGCTTTTCTGCCCACATTACAATGTCACCTCCGCGCAATGTGATGAGTACTTCCGCTTCAACAATGTTACAGAGATTGCAGGGATTCCTGGTGCCGCCAGCGGCATTTTGAAAGGTACAGTTGTGAACTGTGGGAGCCCAGAGTGGTCTTTAGCTGCACCCTTGTGCCATTTGCAGCCTTTCACTTCAGAAATCCGTATCATCCTAGAAATCTTTCTGCTCCTTTAAAAAAGAAAAACAAGATTCTAATTAATGTTTTAAATTAGCCCCTATGTGTGAAGGCACTTGGTTGTCACCCGCCTCCTGTCTCTCCCTTTCTCGGGAAATGAGGTGCTCCATGGCTGGCTGGTTGCTTCCACCTACAGCTCACTGTAATGGGATGTTGTGTTCACAGTTGCATGAAGAAGGTGGCAGAAAGCCCCTCCACCACAGTTAAATGCCACCTTTTCAGTGCTCCTAGCCCCTCTTTGTTTCTGGAAATAAAAGCATCCAGCAGCCCAGGGCCGGGGACAAAAAGTGACCCATTGTGGACAGCCTGCTACAGGGCACCTCATTTCCCTAAAGTGGAAGAGGCAGTGGCAGAGCAGCTGTCCCTGAGCACTATCCATTGGCTGTAGTATGTACCAGCATTTGATTTGTTGATACGCTACAGTAGCATGTATAGCAGTAAGAACCCAAAGAGCATTCAGAGAGCATTTGTGTCTAGGGATGGGCACGAACCTAATTTCATGACGAACATAGCCGGTTCATGGTTCATAAACTGAGGTTCATGCCCATCCCTATCCATGATCCCCTCACGACCCTCCATGTAGTTTTTAGAGGTTTGTGGGATTTGTGGTGGGAAGCGGAGTGAGTGAGACGGGTCACTGAAATGGCTTGCATCCATTTCAGCCTAACAGTGGTGGCTGATACACCCGTCAGCTGTTAGGCTGAAATAGATGCAAGCCATTTCAATGATCCCTTTCACTCCCCCCCTTCCAAGTGTTCCCTTTAAATGGCTTTTGCAAAATCTTTCCCACCCTTCTATTCTGCTGGCCTCAGGCAGCTACTGCCAGCAGAAAGGAGGGCGGGAAGATCTCAGATCTCCCCCCCCCTTCCATTCTGCTGGCCTCGGGGACCTGCTCCCAGCAGAAAGGGGGGGGAGGGAAGAACACTCTACCACAGAGGTATCACTCTTTTGTTACAAGGGCTGGATCTGTCATAAATGTCACTTTTTTGGGATGGGACATGTGTGCCATAAAATGTAATGCCAGGTACCAGAGATAGAAACTGTATAAAGGACAGCACCTGGTAAGCTCTGAATTGGTGTATCCTCTCTACAAGGCCTCATGGGGGGCATGCAGAGGAAAACCCACATAGGTGGACTGGAGAAGCAGCAGTGCAGTGCTGGGCAGATGTTCCCACAATGCTTGACTGCTGCAGCCAAGGTTGTTCTTCTGTGTTGAAGCCACAATGGAGTGGCTCCGCCCACTCCCCTCCAGCACTTCCTCCCTTGCATCAGTTGCTTGCAGGATGCATAAGTGCCCTGGATGGGCCTGATCTGGCCCCCGGGCCTTATGTTTGACATCCCTGCTCCACCGCATCAAGAATCTCACAAAACGAGCCAGCTTTTTAAATGGGGATGTTCGTGAAGGTTTGTGATTTGTGTGACACCACGAACCAGATGAACCTCTTTTCCCAGTTTGTGCCCATCCCTATTTGTGTCCTTACTAGAGAAGGAATCATCTTCCAGCCAGCAGTACATCCAATGCAACCAACTTAGGCTTTCTAAATTGTTTGTATGGAGCATTTTCCTGTACTGAGTAAATAGATGTTCCATTCGCTTATCCGTCCGTTCACTCTTTGCCTCCCATGTCTATAATCTCTCTCTCCCTACCCAAGATAACATCTGGAGTAATTACTTGGAGAAAGGAGAGATCCTGGAGAAAGCCGACCGCCTGTCTGTGGATGTTTCTGGCCACAAGAGCAACCTCCACTTGTACGTTTATGCAGACATCGCAACATCCTTCACGGTGCTTGTGGGCATCTTCTTCCCTTCTGTGACAGGTAAGGGTGTAGAGTGTTCCCTGGGCACTTTCTCTGTGTGTGTGCACATTCGTGTGCTTTTTCGGGAATGGTCTTCATACATTAAAAGTTTGTTTTTCTTTTCAAGGGATCATGGCTGGTTCAAACCGATCCGGAGACCTCAAGGATGCCCAGAAATCTATTCCTATTGGAACGATCCTGGCCATTGTCACCACATCTCTAGTCTGTATCTTTAAAAAAAAAAAAATATATAGTGCCTGTAAAAGGTTTGTGACCTTTGGACACCTGCAGTCTGACGCCTTGCATGGTCCAACTTGCATTTTTTAATTTGTCTCGACATTTCT